GTTTCACAACAATCCAGATGGTACTTCTAGCCTCTGCTCATGCTTTACAACAATGAATCAGGACAAGACATAGATCTGCTAATGTGCATTTAATCACCAAAGGACTGAAGATGTCTGGGCTTTTTTATTCTGTAATGTTTCTAAGACTGTGTCCATTAAATGCAAACAAAAAAGGAAGAAGTCTTGGCAGAACAGGAGAAGTGATGCACACTTGATGATCAGATCGATTTTATATATTATTCATGGCATATAGCCTAGTCCATGCTCTAGCTGTAGACAAAAACAAACGTGCAATTATTATTTTACTTAGTTCAGTATGTTACTTTCCAAACTCTGTAAAAATAAAGCAGTATTCTGTTAAATTCATGCCATTTTCTGTCATCTGGATCAGACAGACTGTGTGTATATCTAATTACCAAAACACTACAACGGAATCCAGAAGTTCTACAAAATTCAGCAGGATGAAAAGAGGTGTCTCCTTTTGTCTCCATTTCTAGACATGCTCTCCACTAATTTTGTTAAAATCTGTAACAAGAAGAATCCTACTCATTTCAAACTCCCTAGCTATAAACTGACATAGTTTTATTGATCAGATGAATTACAAAAGCAGCTCAATAGTACACACCAAATATTTGATAAACCAGGTAGTACAGGTTATACAAGTTAAGAGCTCCCAATTATAGGCTGTCTTTACATCTGGGGGTCATGAAGCAGGCCCTAACTTGGAACTTAAACATCTGTTGTTAAGAGGTGTTTACACATTAGAAACAGGATCTGACTTATTCCTCTTAATATATTTTTTCTTTTTGTTAAGACTCGAAAAGAAGTTTTTAAAAAGGTAGTATAGGGCGCCTGAGTGGCTCAGATGGTTAAGCGTCTGCCTTCTGCTAGTGTCATGATCCCAGGGTCCTGGGATTGAGACCCACATTGGGCTCCTGGCTCAGCGGGGAGCCTGCTTCTCCCTCTCCCTCTGCCTCTCCCCCTGCTCATGCTCTCTCTCTCTCTGTATCTCAAAGGAATAAATAAAATCTTTAAAAATAAAATAAATAAATAAATAAATATTAAAAATTAAAAAGGTAGTATATATTTGTTTTAAAAAGTGGAAGCGGTGTGAAGGAGAATGGATATTAAATACCTGTTTCTATGGCTTGGGCTTCGTTGGTCTTCCACTGCTCCGCTACATCATTTGCTAATGGATCATCTGGATTGGGAGCACTTAACAAAGCCTGGATCGATAGCAGAACTGTGCGGATCTGCAGTGCTGGGGACCACTTATCTATGAAGGCAACAGGCCCAGAATGATCAGCATGAAACAACAGCCCCAGAACTCCTGCATTGCATTCCCACAGACCTTCCTTTGTGGTCTTTATATAATAAGGCAAGATTACAATGTTCAGATTCTCAATACAGAATGCTTAAGAGAAAAAGGAGAAATCTTAATAGCATATATTAATAAAGGTAACACTTACCTTTCAAAATATCTAAACATATTCTTCCCAACTTGTCTACATTAGGATGATAAATTTTGGTCATGAAACGTACTTTAGGGGCTGCCATCGGGTATTCTTCTGGTAGGAATAGTTCCAGCTTAAAAGTCCCTCCCTCAAAGGGGGAATCCTGGGGGCCAGCAATGACCACATGAAAATAACGGGCGTTGCTCTCATCTGGTTCTGCTTTAATGCCAGGAACTGGTTCTGCCAGCAAACGCTGGGTTTCCTACAACAGAAAAACATGATACATTTATGAAACAAATGTCACTTTGCTAAACACCAAGTTAAAAGACTATTTACATAATCCCAATCACCTGAATGCAACTGCAAGTGAATACTGATGACATACGCTGCAACTACAAATGTCTGAAAATATGTTGATAATAAAAATTAGGCTAATGAAACGGATTTTATACTAAGGAGAGAAGTGAGGAGAGGGGAGTGGAGGAGAGAGGAGGGGAGAGAGAAGAGAAAAAAGAAAATAACACTGGGATTATCACACAGGTAAATAAAGGCAACTTACTCTGTTTAAACTCTACCAAAACCTTTAAAAAGTAAAATTAGGGGCGCCTGGCTGACTCAGTCAGCAGAGCATGCAACTCTTGGTCTTAGTGTTGTGAGTTCCAGCTGCACATTGGGTGTGGAAATTACTTAAAAATAAAATCTTCTAATTAATTAATTTTTTAAAAAGTAAAATTAGTTCTAAAAGTCACTGAAAATCTGAATGTAGGAGGGAGGGCCAAGTGCCTAGGCACCTGAACAGAGCTAGCTAGAACTATATACAACCTTGACACCAAACACTTTAATGCTGCTCTCCAACAATCATTAGGTCTCTTTTCCATCTTTCTCCCTCTCTCCTAAATAACTATAACACTCTTCCCTCTCTCTTCAAACCTCCAGTACCTCTATCCTCACCCTCACTTTTGGCTGATGACTCTGCTTTCTATTTCACGAGAAAACAGACATGCTTCCCACTGTAGCATTTGTACCCTTCAACTGTGTACCCATGTGCTTTGCCTGTCCTCCTGTCACTGTGAAGGAAATGGCCATCAAACTCTTGGCTAAGACTGACCTCTCCTCTAAAGCACTACATCTCATCTCCTCACCTATCCACGGACATTGCCCTAGCATCTCTTTCGAAACTCTCCTGAATCATCAGTTCCCCCTCTTCACTGGATCTTTCCCCAAACTGTACAAATTTGCTGTAATTTCTCCCAGTAAGAGGAGAAAATAACCTTGACCTCACTCTCCCCCCACCCCCACCAGCTAATGCCCCACTGCTTTGCTGCTCTTTCAAAGTAATCTATACTTGATTGTCTCCAATTTTCCTCCTCCCTCCTATCTTGAACACAACTCTCCAATCAGGGTCTATCCACTAACCTGTCTGTTGAGGTCACCAGTGATTCCCACACAGTTAAATCAAATGGCCAATGCTTAATCTTCATCTTATTTGACCTAAATGTAACATCTTACCCAGCTGGTCCACCCTCCTTGCCAAACACCACCCAGCTTCCTATAGCCAAGCTCTCCTGATTCTCTTCTACTTGTCTGGCTGCAACCTCCTTGCTGGTTCCCTCCCTGACTCCCCAACACTGAAGTGTGCCAAGGCTCTGTCCTAGGGCTTCTTTATCTACACTCTTCCATAGTGATCCCATATTGCCCAATGAATCTAAATACTAAATACGCCCTGTATATGATGTCTCCCCAAATTCATATCCAGCACAGATCTCTCCCCTAGATCACGCCTCTTTTATCCATAACCACCTGTTCAACAGCTCCTCTTGAGTATCTTAATAAGCATCCCAAACTTTGCATGACTTTCCCCACCTTCAACCTGCTCTTCCCTCAAAGCCTTCTTCACCATCAAGCCATCCTTCCAATTGATCAAATCTTTTCCTTCATACCCCACCATATCTAACCTGATTGGCATATTTTGTTCACTTGAATTTCCAAATCTACTGGACTGCTTCTTACCACCCTGCGGCTACACTTCTAATCCAAGCCACCATCAGCTCTCGGCTGGCATACTGCAATAGCCTAACTTTGTTCTTCTTGCTGCTGACCTTGTTCCCCACTCCCTCTTGGGTCTGTGTTTCATGGATCTTTCAAAGTCCTTATAACGGCCCCCCAAGAAGAGGCTTTATATGATCCCCTCACTCTGGCTATTCTTAACTCATCTTCAGCTATGTTTCCCCCAATACTCCCACCCTGGCACTTTGCTCCAGCCAGATTGGCAGCTTGGTAATTTTCCAACCTGCCAGGCATACTCCTCCCTCAAAAGCTTTGCCCTCGCTTTTTTCCCCCTGAAATTTCTATCTGGTTTTCTCCCTCAGAGCTCCTAAGATCTTCATTCAAATGTGTTTTCTTAGTAAGGCCTCCATAATTGAAACTGAAAAAGCCCATTTCCACCCTATCCCACACCCTTCCTATCCCTGTTCCCCTAATTTTATCTCTACAGCACTACTAACATATTACACATCTCACTTATTTTGCTCAGAATGGAAGTGCCATAAAAGGAGATTTGTGCCTGTTTTATTTACTGCTATATCCTCAGTGTTTGGAACAGTGCCTGGCACCACAGATGTTCAATAAATACTTGCTGAATTATGAATCTATTTGATGTTACAAAGAACAAGGAATAAACTATCAGAATTGCATCTTTAACATTAAAGCAGTGTTATTCAGAGCAGGATGTGCACATCACAGGAGGAAAACAAAAGGATCCATTCAGGCATGGGAAGAAATAATCTAACTTCTATTTATAAACTTACTGTCAGCCAAAAATAGTTAACACTCAATAAAAGAAACTGACAATACCATGTGTAATTTTATATATTAGTAACATATTTTCAACATTTTGAATAGGCATGTGCAGTCGAAGTTTTAGAACACTGCTATACCTAAAGTTTTAGATATGAAGAACAATAAGAATATTGTATTTACACTGCCTTCACTTAAGAAAAATCCTACACCGGGGCACCTGGGTGGCTCAGATGGTTAAGCATCTGCCTTTGGCTCAGGTCATGATACCAGGGTCCTGGGATCGAGCCCCACATCGGGCTCCTGGCTCAGCAGGGAGTCTGCTTCTCCTTCTCTCTCTGCCTCTCTCCCTGCTCATGCTCGCTCTCTCTCTGTATCTCTGTGTCTCAAATGAATAAATAAAATCTTTAAAAAGAAAAAAAAAAAGAAAAATCCTACACCTTACACCATTTTATTCTACAGCCTACAGGGCACATACTAAAAGAGATTTCCCTGTCATATACTGAAATAATCATAAGATGCAGATAAAAAATTAAACCCTTTTCCAAACTGTGTTAAACCCATAGCCACTTGAAGTAATGCCTTTAGTACTTTAATTAGAGACTAGTTTTTTTACTTTGTTTTAATCGTGGCAATGCAAGGGCAAATGAGAAACTGAAATGCTATAAACTACTTTCAGCAAAATGTTCTTTAGGTTCAAAGTAAAACATTTTTAGAGCATTAAAAATCCTCAAGAAGAGGGGCACCTGGGTGGCTCAGTTGATTAAGTGTCTGTCTTCAGCTTGGGTCATGATCCCAGGGTTCTGGGATCGAGCCCCCGCATTGGGCTCCCTGTCTGCTTCTCCCTCTCTGCCCCTCCCCGCCCCCAGTGTGTGTGTGCTCTCTTGCTCTCAAGCTCTCTCTTCCTCTCTCAAGTAAATAAAATCTCAAAAAAAAAAAAAAATCTCAAGAAGCAATAATGAAGCCCCCCACTGTGGAAAGTCCTCCAACATGGAATTAGAACAAAAGAGGCCAGGCTTCATTTTTAGCATCAATCAATCAATCAATCAAGATATTAAGGATCAACAGTAAGAGTAAAGGAATGAGAAAAAAACCTAGATGGTAAAATTCCTTGAATTGTGACCTCTCCTCACCTCCATCCTTCTTTTGTTTTGCCCCAGGTCTTCCTATTTTTAGAAATCCGTAAGGAGGGAGATTGGAAGGCTGGGGTCTAAGAGCCCCAAAATCCCACTCCCTGGTTACACAAAGTAGTAGCAGCTCTATTCAAGGCTATAAAAAGCTGCCAGAAGGGCCTCCAAGATCATATCCCGAAATAGCCTCAAAATTACTCTTAGAACACATTGTCAGAGATTCAGCATTCCTTCCTCATCTTCAGTTCCTCCTCAAAATAAGAGTCTTTAAGAATGTACATATTAAACATATCACATGGCCTGATCAATTTTAAGATTTAATCAGAACACATTCTAGCATAAGCTTTTAAGTGTGGAAAACCTTTTGAAACAGTTTTTATATGCTCTCAAGTTCTCATGGATTTTGATATAATGAACAGATGCATAATTATTTGACTACATGGCACTGATTTCCCAAACAAACCCATAACATAAATTATGGGAGGAAAAAAGAATAAAATCCAAACCAAATGGAACAAGTCTCACCCACAGAACTTGGGAGTCAATTTTTTTCACGAAAAAGGCAAAAGTGGGTAGGAAATAAAATCCTTCCTGCTACTACTCACACATGGTTAACTATGAAACACCTAGTTTTATATTATTCTTTGGTAGAAAGACAGTGAAGTACAGTGTGATTTCTTCAAGTCTAGAAGTAACGGGTTCAAATTCCTACTGCACTGTTTACTTAACTATTACTTTTGAGCAAATAATTTACACTGCTCTGAGTCTCAGCAGACTTATCTATATCATAATTAAGACCGCCTCTCATGCAGAGTTGCTATGAAGATCAAGAGATAATACTGCAGAAAGACTTAACAAATGAGATCACATAGGAAGGCCATAGCCATATACAACCAACTCAAAAAGAATTAAGAACAAAGCACAATAACAAATCTTAAAAATTTATTAAATAACAGTATTTGTTTTTAAAGAAAACAGAATAACCATTAGTTTCATTATGATCCTACTTGTTTAAAAGCAATCCTCCGACCCAGTCCCAGGTAGAACTGAGTTTAGGCCATACAGAACAAAAAGCACTGTAGACTATTTAGGGAATTAGTTACTAAAAAGCAGAAAAGGAAGTACATAAAAATAGAGTATGAATTTAAGTGGCAGTAAGATTAAGTCTCAAGAAAACTATCTCGTCTTACAGAGTGAGGGTAACAGTTCATGTTATAAATACCTTAAAATGGAAGTAAGTAACATCAAATTGATCTGGTCATCAATACATCTACTGGGACTTGAAAAGCAAATTCCAGGATTATACCACAGTAAACTGCAGCACTTGAGTTTGTCA